CTGAGGAGGAGGAGGATGGAGGAGGACTGAGGAGGATGGAGGAGGATGATAGAGAAAATGTTGATAGTGATGATGATGGTGGTGGTGAGAATGATTATGATGGGATTGAGGAGCAAATGAGGAAATCAGTCGCATGCAAGGAAAGTCAACACGTTGTCTTGTCATATGAATGGTTTGACCGCAGGAGAGAAGTGCCAGCTCGCTTTCACTTCGATCTCTTCGTCCAAAGGTCCCTTCAACATGACATCTGTGCTCCCCTCAACTTGAGACTCCAGGAGGAGAGAGACAACATCTTCTTGGACATGGCTCGGAATTGTGCCTCCAAGCAGAACCGCTGGCACTGCATGTCCATGTGTAAGTCCTGCTCCTCCGCTCTCCTGCCATGGTGTGAAAACCCTTCAGCGTCCCCTCGGCCGAGGCTGCAGGCGGCCAAGACAAGCCTGAACGTGGTGAGAGGTTGAGCTCCTGGCGAACCTGCTGGCTGATCGTGATGCAGGCGTGGGACAACAAGTTCCTACAGGTCTGTCAGTCAGGGATGAGACGAGGTGTGAGGGGCTGCTGCAGGCTCTCGACACGTCCCGCCAACGTCCGCTCATCTGCAACCTCTTGCAGCAACACTACATCGACTACCCCGTCAAGGCCTCTGAGAGCAAGCGAAAGCTTGGCAACTCCGAAAGCGCTGAGATGATAGACTGCATGTACTTGCTCTTCCTCCTCCTCCTCCTCCTCCTCGTCTGCCCCTCCCTCTTCGTGTCGTGTCGTCCCTGGATCTCCAGTCTCTCGCCTGCCCCACCCCTACTTCTTGCCTATCATCTTTCCCCTTCGTCTTTGCTTCGTATCTTTTCCCTTGTAGACTTGCTCAGTCTTCTTCACCATCACATCTCTTGTCTCCGACTCATCTCATGATCCTGTGCAGGAAGGGAAAGTTTTACTTCGAGCGCACGAATCTTTCACCTTCTCATCCTCCCCCCCTGCAGCACAGCAAGACGCCACCAGCACGCCTACGACTGTTTGTTCCAACTCCCTCTGTGTGTGACGACAAGTTTCATGACGTACGAATGGTTGCCAGGAAGAAGAAAAATGTGGAGCACCAGAGGGCGCTATTTGGAGACAACCTTGCTGTATTCCTCCTCCCTTGCAAGCCCCATGTGTTGATGAAGTTGTTGTGCAGAAAATCAACGAGTGGAAGAGGGCGAGCGGGAGGTACAGCGCTGAGCTGCTGGACGTTATGATCAACGAGATCATGCTCAGTCCTTGAGCAACACGACGAGTTGTCATGGGACATGTAAACAGAAGAAAGAATCTAAAAGTTGTGAAATGAAATGACTCCAAGGATCTTTTCGCTCGACCAACTGTCAGGGTCGGACTGGTCAAAACGTTCCCTGCTCCCCTTGTCCTCCCGCTTCCTGCCTGTTGCCTTCACTTCAAAACGCTCTTAAGAATCTCGTTCAGCCTCGGCAGCATCTCCCGGGCCTCGTCTAGGATGCCTGCGGATAAGATCTGAAGGGAGCGATCAGTACCTTGCGACGGAGGAGGAGGGAGGATGGCGAGGGAGGATGAGGGAAAGGAGAGCAGGTATCAAGTCAGGAGGGAGGAGAGGAGATGGTGAGGGAGGAGGGAGGAGGGGGCGAGGAGACGAGCAAGGCGACTTGTCCCTGACGTACCGCGTTGTCCAGCAGCTGCTCTGCCACCAGCTTCGCAAGCTCAGGGTTCTCACCCTTGGCCTTGGACAAGGAGACGAGGATGGGATGTTTGAGATTGACAAGCAGCTTGTAACTTGAAGAAGGTCAGTCCGAGCAGAACAGTTTTTCCTCCTCCTCCTCCTCCTCCTCCTCCTCCTTACCCGGCCGGCTGTGTGACCCCCATGCTCTTGAACTCAGACATCCTCATCAGCTTCCTGGTGACGGCGTTGTCGTGATCCGAGATGATGGCAGGAGAGTCGACCAGCCTGAGCAATCGTGAGGGAGGAAAAGGGAAGAGGAAGAGAGAGGAGGAGGGAGGAAGAGGAGGGAGTAAGAAGGAGAGAGAGGGCAGGAATGAATAAAGGATTTCGAGGTAAGTTCACGTACGAACATGTTAAGGAAGGAGGGGAGGAAGGAAAGGAAAGGAGAGGGAGCGACGGAGAGACAAAGGGTGGAAGAGGGGATAGGATGGGATGGGATTGGAGGAAGAGGAAGAGGGAGAGGGAAGGGGAGGGGGAGGGGGAGGGGGAGGGGGAGAGGGAGTTGGAGAGGGGGAGAGGGAGGGGGAGTTGGAGGGGGAGAGGGAGTTGGAGGGGGAGGGGGAGAGGGAGGGGAGGAGGGAGAGGGAGTGTTCGTTGAGGGCTATTTCTAACCTCTCAGTTGCTTGCACATCGGAGACTCTCTTCCCCAGGGATTCTTTCATCCAGCTCGTGAGCTCCTTGCTCTGTACCCCCCTGTGAGATAGCACAACAACCCATGGCAAGTCTGTACCTCGTCCTCTGACATGCTGGGAGTAGACGCCTCCTCCTTGTCCTTCTCTTCTCCCTCCTTCTTCTCCTCCATCTTCTCGATCAGCTCCTTTGGAGGCTCCACGACTTCGATGGACTTGAGCTGCTTGTCGCCGAAGCGGGCGAGGTTGGCGAGGACAATCTCGTCATGGTCGTTGTAGCAGAAGAGAACCTCGATCCCTGTGGGAGAGAGATCAGAAGAGGAGGAGCAACGAGAGGAGGGAGCGGATGGAGCGAGGGTAGAGGGGAGGGGCAGGGACCTGCTTTCTTGAAGGCCTCGAAGTAAGGAGAGGAGACGGCGACGTTGTAGCTGTTGGCGACGAGGTAGTAGATGGTGTCTTGCCCCTCCCTCATACGGCTCACGTATGCATCCAACGACGTCACCTCGTCGTTCTCGATGGCGCTCGAGGGGTATCGGAGGAGCTTCGCGAGTTGAGGAGCGTTCTTCTGATCCATGGCCACACCCTCCTTTAGCATCAGCCCGAAGTTCTTGTAGAATTCCTCGTAGTCCTTCTCGCTCTTCTTCGCCTCGTCGATCAGCCATCGGATCACCCTCTTCGTCAGCACCTGCCCTGCACGTCAGCCTCCTCCTCCTTTGGATCCTCCTCCTCCTCCTTTGGATCCTCCTCCTCCTCCTCCTCCTCCTCCTCCTCCTCCTCCTCCTCCCTCACATCTTTCAGCTTCGACAGGAGGCGCTGGTCCTGCATGATCTCCCTGCTGAT